GTGAGGCATTGCTAGTAAATTTTCTTTGGTTGTAAAAATTGAGAACCGAAAATTTCTCAATTATGTTATCTTCCGAATTGTCTTCTTGTGACGTTGATGGTGGTATGCATTGTTTTGACATCCACATGAGAAGCCTCTGCGTATAGTATGTCATCATCGCACTTCCAAGAAGTTTCCTTGTGCCCATTAATTCATCATTATATGGAGAAGATGCAATAGTAATCAACAACAGCAATATGTTACGAGATATCTTGTAACGTGTCTGAATGACTTGTTGGGTTGAAGATGCATACAACGCATTTGCGAATATCGAAGAAGTATACTCAGCATCTGGTATACGCTTGTCTTCTAACACACCACTTAACATCTCTATAATAGATCTTACGCATTTTCGCCATTTTCCTGTCGATTTGACAATAGACCATATTGTTTCCGAATGCTCTCCAATATTCTTGATCATAAATTGCGTATAAAAGTTCACAGCAACCGTTATAGTTGGATCTTCTTGTACGCCCAATAGTCCCTCCACCAACTGTTCTTCTAAGCTAATGATGTCAGACTGAAATCTTGATGCCACAAAGTCCGCAGCTTTGAAAATTCTTATAACATCCACTCGCTCTCGCTCATCCACTAAACACTCATATTGAGGAATGAATGCATCAACGGATATGCTTTCAAGTCGATCCCCATTGTGCTCGCCTTCAAAATGTTGATGTATTACTTCTAATGCCTCACACAGGCACAAAACTGATATACCGTGTTTTTTAATGATGGAAAAAAATTTGGAAGATGCGTCAACCATTAGACTTACAGGTTTCTGAGCATCTTCTAAAAATTGATGACATTTTGACAAGAATCTTATCCATTCTGCCTGCAAATTTTCGATATATTGACTTTCGCGTATCAATCCAGTCTCAGGATCGTGTTGTCTGACAACGTGCCCTGTAACATAATCTTTAACCTTATCTCTAATGTCCCTGGCGTCTAGCAATAGTTGAGATTTTCTCTTGCACAGTTGGAGATCGCTGCTTTCGGTTATAAAACTCATTAAACTCGACTGAATGATGGCTGCAGAGAATCGACCAGGAATTAATGTATACTCGAGAAATTCCTCATTAATAACTTCGGCGTTATCAGTGTCTTTTAGAAATTGGGTTGGATTAAGTCGCTCCGGTAAAGGATGTGCGACTATCATCCAATTTTGCCTATAAGATGCGCCGTGTATAGATACCCCACCCGCGACACATTCGCTCGGTTCCGTTAGACTTTTGAAGAAAGTTATCTTTAAGTCTGTATATGCTATTGTAGCACGCCCTGCCCTATCCCACAGCGTCCATAAAGTCCAGACCTGCGTCCCAACAGAATTGTCAAATGGAGATTCGATTTTGTTTTCAAATTTTTTTACTGCAACAATATCCACCAGTTTGACAAAGGCATGAGCACGTGCGTTCTCTTTGAGAAATTCATCTGCCGTACATCTTATTTGACCAATAATATCCAAACTTTTAAGAGTACCTTTTTGTTCATAACGAACACGATACAGGGCAAAAAGTCCACTATCCAGATAAGGTACGTATACCAGAAAATTAAATGTTTTTGAGAATTTCGCACCTCCACCAAGTATACAAATATAACTTTTACTTTGTGGAGGCAAATCTGATATCCTGATGTTATCATCTCCTTGATCGGCTGTGGATTCGTCAAAATTGGCATCGTTATTGACCGACTCGTCGTCTTCGGAATCACTATTATCCATTACTCCTGCAGATTTCAATGGCCTATCGTCGAGATGCTCACCAGTGGGCAACGAACATACTTTTATTCTACGATCTCGCGATAGGCTTACTATGAATTTGACACTACCGTCTATATGTGAGGCCATCGAGATAGGTTGAAACGATGAGCTGTCACTATAGGAATTATCGTCTAATTCTGATTGTGATCGCTTGCCGTAGTACATCAACAGAGAACCGAGATTTTTTAGCTGTTTTATTAACGGCTCTGCAAGTTCTGTTTCACTGAATGTGTCTGAATAGATAATATAAAACTATTAGCATTATTACAGCGTTTCAATTACAAAATACGTAAAAATAGTGTATGCGCCCAAAAAACAATGTAATCTTACCTTCAATGCTGTGCGGACTTGCTTGGCGAAGCTGTTGTGTACGAATAGCATCGTAATTATAATTGAACATTGCACCATCTCTGCAGCCTACGACAAAGTTATTGTAGTCGAGTACGGTTATTATGCATGGTTGCCGGTCTTGAAGAGTACGTAGCTTGGCGAACGTGTCTTTTAGGGGTAATCGAAGACGGTATAAGATGTCTTTGACCAATACGAGGCATAGGACAATTCCGACTCCTTCAAAGAACGCGACTTTTGGCACTATTTGTCCACCAAACGAGAACTGAACGGGGAAAACCGGCCCCGTCTGATCTAACGTAGGGGTTGTGTTCTCTCCGTCCGTGAGGGATATATATCTGAGGTTTAGCACGCAGCCCGCGTCCACAACTTGCCAAAAGATATATCCTTGAATGTCATTGTTTAGTCTTAGTATTGATCCTTGCTCTGCTCGTTGGTAGCTTGCAGGCTCCACAGGCGCACGTGTTGTTTGCGATGAATTTGCATTGATTGTGTATGTTATAGGGCTCTCTGGGCTAAAACTATTAAGAACAAGAGGTGTCTCTTTATAGAGGCATGGATCCCGTGGTGCGGCCATCGTGGATTAACAGATTAGTAATGTCGGACGAAAAGGACAGGAGCGTAAATAGTTTTTGTTCGAATACGCGAAC